TAACCCATGATCCCTTTTTTTTTATAAAAAAAAAAAATACCTATTTACATTCCCCTAAATCTAAATGCACAATGCAAAAAAGAAACCCTCGGTGCGAAGTTGTTGTTGCAGAGAAAGAAGAGTGTGAAAACACTAGTGAAAAGTTAGAGTATCAAGCTGGAGTGGGTTTCGAATCAATCTATTACATTTTATTTCAAATAAACTTATTATAGGAGCAAGATAATAAGATATTGATGACATACAACTACTGCAAGATGATATTTTTGATTTGAATCAATTGATATAATTTGAGAGTTGTTAAACTTTATTTTTTTGATATTTTGGAACTTTGTTATAGGAGTTGTTAAACTCTTTTGTGTTTATGTATTATATATATATATATAATTTTATATCTTGACCTTAAATAGTAAAAACTTTATGTTTTGTGTCATTCCTATAATTTATGTTTCTACTATCCCCTTCCGTTTTTATGTTGAAACTCAATTTTAACGACATTGGTTATTATAGATAATATTTGATGGTATTAATTGTATTCAAGTGATTTATAAGTCTCCTTCTAAGAATAAAATTTAATAAAGCTCGAGATGCAGTTGATAAATTTAAACTCAAATCTTTACATGTCAAAGCCTTGTCAAACTTTTAAATTTGGAAAACATCTTTAAATGCAAATCAATTCTTAAAATTTTACTGTAAAGAGTTAAAGAAAACCACAAACAACAATTGCGTACGTTTCTTGTAATACGATTGACAAATATGAATGAAAGAATAAAAAATTAACACAAAGCATTATACAAAAATCAAACCAATTTTTAATTTTTAAACTACACATGTGATAGTTTACATCGTATGCAAAGAATAAACCGCGAACAAATATAAGGAATAAAAGAATGATACATAGGAAAATGATATTGTAACACTTTTGAGGATGCAAGATGTAGACTCTAATACTCTATGAGTGGGTGCATTCCAGAGGGAGACCTTGGGGAAATCTATTTTTGTCTGCACAGTAATTATAAATCATGTAGTTCTTTTGCACCCACCGCAGCCTCTGCTGACCAGTTGAATCCACCTCTTGTGATTGCCAGGATGCAGATGAAGGAGAATTTGATTTGCATGAGGATTTTCCACCGTTCCATACACAAGCATTGTCGTCATTGAAGTTCCTGTAGGACGAAGTGAAAGGAGCTTTGGACCAGTCTGTCTTGATGAGTCCACCCCTTGTGGCCCAATTATCTGCGTTCCATAGGCTGGAGTATATCCTCATTGGCTGGTTCTTTGGAAAAGGAACTCCAATTGATTCCATATTCTTGAACTCCCTGATGGGTGTACCATCCACTGAAAAGCTGAACCACAGAACAATAAACTATTTAGTAACTAATGAACTACACAAACACATAAATATATATACATGAGCCAGCTTCATAGTTAGATATATAGGAAATTGAATGGATGAGTGGGTGCTTACACAATGCGTTGACTATTCCAGAGAATTGAATATGTGTGAAAATCTGCGGTTGGGTCAAACCAGAGATAGAATTGTTGCTCTCTGTTTCCCTTGCCTTGGCTGAACACATTTGTGTGTAGGATATAAGGGTCACCACTGAGGTTTCCTAAGAATTCGAAGTCAATCTCATCCCAAGTTGATCCCTTTGAGGAGAGCTGACAAGGACGAAACATTTCTCCGTTAGTCATATATATGACCGAACAATCATGCAATCTCTATAAGAATAATAATCTTTAGAGAGAAGAGTTCAATGCTTTGTAAACTAATTTAACAAATAAAAACTTACATAATAGGCAGTGACGGTGCCAGCAGAGTTTCCCGGAACAAGCTTAAGCTGCATATCAATCTTGCCAAATAAGTATTCATTATTGGACTGGAATCCAGAGCCGGAAGCTTTGTCAAGGGACAGAGTGAGAAGATTGTCGTTGTTGAGTATTTTTGCACGACCATCTCCCCATGTAATCTGAAAGTCTTGGTTGAAGTTACCAGCAACACAGACAACAACGTAAAAACTCGCAAGCAGAGGAATAAGAAGAAGCCTTGAAGAGATCGTAGAAGCCATTTTATGTTTGAACTTTGAACTATGAAAGTGTAGTGCCAAGTGCCAACTAACTAGTTCTTTCAATGTAAGAAAGAAATTAAGAGGTAATGGATTTTGTGAGAAGCTTTAAAGAGAATCAGCATATATATAGTGTGGGAAATGACCGTGTGACTAGCAGCAACAAGCAGCTAGAGGAAAAGTATGCGAAGGTCCCAAGTAAGAGCTAAGCTGGAGATAGTTGTATGGAAAGAAAGATAGCTGTCAAAAGCTCTAATGCGCACGACCAACTTTGTCATATGTAATTAATAAAGGAAGGTAATATTGGTGGAGGGTAGAGGATGTGACACCTGCGAACGAGCACGCGGTTTTTTATAAAAAAAACTTAACACAGTCACCATCATCAGGTAAAGGTCAGCGGTATTCGTATGATCATGATGTTAGTGGATAGGGTCCAGCTCACCGACGCAACTTGAACTTTGTTTTTTTAGCCTTGTGTCCCTTCTTAAGTAAAAAATTACCCCCTATCAAAACTATAGATTTATCTTTCTTTTGATAAAATGACACACGTATACAATAACACGGTTCCTGACTCCCTAAACACGTCTTCCGTGCATTTGTTGTCGGTGCATCTTCCTTTGAAATAATGACATATGTATAAACTTTGTTTTTCTTTTTCTTTCGGTACAATTTTTATATTTTTTCTTTATTTCTTATTCGTAAGTCGCATTGAATAAACGGTGGTAAGGATGCACTTTAGAAAATTCCGACTCCCAATCATGGAAAATATTTAATATGCATCAGGGAGACGGTGAGCCTTCCATTAAAAGTATGATACTTAAAATTAAAAGAAAAAAACTCTCTCTTCTTCATACAATTTGCTCAAAAAATGCCGATTTCTCATTGATTTTCCCCACCAAATTTATTGTGCACCGGATGCACTAAAATCTCACCAATCATGTAGGGTACAAATTGTCTTTTTTTATTGTTACTACTGGGATCGCAACTAAACACTGACCTTTTTTTTTTTTTACAAGGTTTTTTTTAGGTTTTTTGGGAAATTAATTTTTTTTAAATTTTTAATTTTCGAATATTATCGTAAATGGAATGATTTCATCATATTTTTGAAAATCGAAATTTTTGAATAAATTTTTTTTTCCTCTACCAAATGTCCCCTTTAATTATAATAATTAGCCTACGCATCCATTTCTTGATTTAGTTAAATTAAATATATATGTTCAAGAATATTTATTTAACAAATGAATATTTTGAATATATTTGAATTAATGTATTTATTTTACTTAAAAAAATGTACAGTCAAAATATTTAAAACATAATATTTGAATAAAAATATTAAATGTATTCCATATATGGTATAATAGAAAAAAGAAACTAAAATATATTTATTATATAATAAAATTAAATTTATAAAATTATCATGTTCTATTATACAACTTTTATGTTATATATAAATTATTTAACATTGATATTTTCAATATTTTTCTTTTTATTATATTTGTTGGTTACATGTTAAGAGATACGAGTGAAATTTAATTACGAAAAAGTTCTATATACTAATAAAATTTTACATTCAACTCATTAAAAATGATCGTACCAAAAACAGAATTACACATAGTATCGTATTAAATTTAAAAAAATTATACACTATATTCAAATTAAATTTTAATCTTTAACGAAATTATTATAAAATAATTAAAAAACTAGTTAACCAAAGATTAGGGTAATTACAGTTCTCTAATAAACGGAAGGAAAAATTTGCTTATTTTAAAATTGTAAAAAATATTTATCATTTTTAATGAAATTATGTTGTTTTGATGTATTTTTATATTTTTTATATTTTTTATCTTTTATAAAATTAGGAAGAAAAAAAATGGGGGAAAAAGAATATAAAAAATAATAAAATGACATAATTTTATTAAAAATTATTTAAAATTATGAAATTTAAAATAACAAACACTTTAACGAATACAATTTCACTGTTCTCTTATAAGTTTTGTTAAATAAGTACAGTTCTAACAGGATTTTTTTTTTAACTCCTTATTAATTTACAAAAAAGGGAAGGATCGGATGATGAGTCACGGCGGAACCATAAATTTGGTAACGGGGCCAAATCTACAAACAAAAATTTCTAAATTTCTTACCCTCTCTTGATCCAAATATTTTTGAAAGTTTCAAGGGGCCCACCTTAGCGAGGATGACAAAGATATAATATAATGTAAGTACAGTTGTTAAATCTATTTTTCAATTAGTAAAAGAGATAAATAAGAATCATCTTACAGGTAAAAAAAATTGGTATCATGCAATCTCTATAGGCAAAATAAAATCATTGAATACAGTGCCACTTCAAGTTTTTTATTATTATTTGATTTGTCGTTACTTTTGTAAGAAATTTTTTTTTGACCGTGTTACATGACAAATCGAAAACCCTTAGTAAAATTACACAAATCTATTTACCGAAAAAACATTACACAAATCTAGTAAACTTAAGGAAATATTGTCTTATTTTTAAAATTTACTGTTCTCTAATAAAAGTTTTATGTAATTTTAAAAAGTCTCATTTATCTTAAAAGTGAAGTAGTATTTTCTTAATTCATATTTACATGTGCATTTTTATTGCTGTTAATTTGATGCTCTTTTGGTTAATTCACATTTATCGTGTACAAGAGATGCATTGCCATTAATAGATAAAAAAAGAAGAAGGTATCAGCAAAGAAAATATCACTGCACCATTAAAAAATCTAAATAAAAATTAAAAAGCAAGTAACGAAAAAGGGCATAATTTAAGCTGAATTATATTATTGCAATACAATTGACAAATATCAAAGAATAAAAGAATGAGCATAAAGCACTTTACAAGTGAAACCAATTCAATTGAACAAAGAAGAAATTAATCTGCAAGCCATATATTCTTGCTTTGGTTTGAGTCTCCTATGGGGATTAGGATGTTTTGCACTCTGTGGGAAGGCCTTGAGGAAATCTTTTGGTGTCGCTGCAATAATTGTAAATCATGTAATTCTTCTGCACCCAAAGCAATCTGTCTTGACTTGTTGAATCCAATTGTTGGGAGAGCCACGCATTATTGGATGAGGCAGAGTTGGAAGTGCAAGATGATGAGGGAGACGCAGACGACGCTGAGGAATGGACGCATGCATTGGCATTGAAATTCCTATAAGAAGCGGTGAAAGGAGCTTTGGTCCAATCTGTCTTAACAAGACCACCTCTCGTTGCCCAGTCATCAGCATTCCAAAGGCTTGAGTATATCCTCATTGGCTGCGACGTTGGGAATGGAACTCCCTTTGATTCCATGTTCTTGAATTCTCTTATGGGGGTTCCATCCACTGAGAAGCTGAAACAGATGAAGCAGAGTGGATTATTAATTGATGCATGCAGTATTAAAAGTAGTATTCAGAATATATGTGTCATGTGGATAAGGATTGATCATTGACAATTTGACATACATATATATATGCTTACATAATACGCTGAGGATTCCAAAGAATGGAATAAGTATGGAAATCAGCTGTTGGGTCGAACCACAAATAGAACTGTTGCTCTCTGTTGCCTTTTCCCTGACTGAACACATTGGTGTGAAGAATGTATGGGTCTCCGCTCAGATTCCCCAAGAATTCAAAGTCAATCTCATCCCAAGTTGAGCCATTTGACGATAACTGTATCACATAAATCAAATTATTAAAAGGAAAAATAAATAAATAAGGAATTTGAAAGTTTAGTAGCATTAGCAGTGACGCATATATAAACATACTATATTTGTTATTGAGAGCATAAGATACATACATAGTAGGCAGTGACGGTGCCAGCAGAGTTGCCAGGTACAAGCTTGATCTGCATATCAATCTTGCCAAAGAGATATTCGTTCTTGGATCGGAACCCTGAGCCAGAGGATTTATCAAGGGAAACAGTGAGAAGCTCGCCGTTGTTGAGTATCTTGGCGCGTCCATCTCCCCATGTTATCTCAAAATCGTTGTAGAAGTTGCCACCATACGCTGCCATGAAAGAGGCCAATGCCAATGCTGAGAGAATAGTTATTGTTGAATAAGTGGAATGAAGAGATGCCATGGTTGATTTCAATTGGTGGACACTAGACAGAGGAAATTGTAGCTTTTTAGTACTAATGAAATATGAGAGGGAAGGCTTGAAGGGATGGTTGTGGCAGAGAACTAGGATTGGTATTTATAGTTACAGATAGATGTGTTTAAAGGTGTGGAAGTAACATAGGAAGGTGCAGTCAGCTTTGGACAACTGTAGGTCTCGAAGAGTTGGAACAAAAACAAACATTAAAATATTAGCAATTCGCTGTAATGTTTCTCATGCTCGCTTCTTGTCGCACGATTAACCCAACCAACATCTTTATGTATGTAAGGAATGGTTTGGTTGCATCTTGGGACGCGTTTTTCCTTTTTCTATTGCAATCGAAATTGCCAAGTTAGTGCAAATTGGGCATGTGGGGTCTTGAAATATTCAACGGAGATAGCCTGGCCAGGCACATCCAAACCAAAACACCAACACCGCCACCAAGTCATTCTATTTCTTCTTTCCTTTTTTTTTTTTTTTATAAACTCTTTTTCCTTTTTATCTTGAAGTAGTAGTGAGATTATATTTATAATTTTTTTTCACTTATAACCTCTAACAATCAAATCTTAATTGTTAATTTTTGTTAATATGATAGTTCTAATTTATTTGATCACATATATTAATTAATTATTAAATTTCAATAAATTATAACCGTCAGGACAGAAAAAAATGATTAAAATTTGGTTGTAAGAAGTTCTAAGTGAAAGAGGTTATAAATATGAGAAGATATTCTTACTAACAAAAAAAAAAATTCACTACCAACTTACTAACTATCTAATCACCCTTAGCCTTAGATAAAAGAGAGAATGTTGAAAAGTTTTTAAAGAGAGAGAAAATATTGATTCGGTAATTAGATAAATAGTAAGTTAGCAGTGAATTTTTTTGATAGTAAGAATATCTCCCTATGTAAATATAACCTTCTTCTTGAAGTAGTACTAATTTATCTAAAAATCTTAAGAAAAATTGTTAATAAATGCGGAATTTCTCAAAAAGACCACAAAAAAAAAAACGAAAATATCAAATGCTGTCAATATAGAATATTTTTACGCTATCGTATAAATTTTTTTTTTTTTTTGGAGTTTACATGGAATCGAACACCATCTCCATGCACTAAACACACTCCTAATTGTTATAAAAAAAAAAAAAAAAAAAACACACTCCTAATTACACACACCCACACCACTAGGCTAGCGCTAACTTTATTAAAAATCACATGAAATGTTAAGTGCATTAAATGATATTTTAAGAGATTATTATATAATAATTTAAACCTTTTTACGGTTACAAAACAACATTATTGAATTAAAAATTACGTAATTTTTCATCTTTTAAAGTTAAATTACGATAGCAAATGATGGTAGTTCAGTTGATGTCAGAAAAATTGAGTAGACAAAAGGTGACAGCATGTGTTCGATCTTCCCCAGGACTTACATTTAAAAAATAAAAGCCTTGGTTTAGACATGTTAGCCTGTTTAAGCTTATTAGACATTCAATAATTAAAAAAATAACTAAAATAATATTACTTTATTATTCAGAATTATTAAAATAATAATTTTATTTAAAATAAATAATATGATATAGGTTTATAGACTCGACATGTACAAAAAAGTCTATGATTAGTTTTCTAAATAAATTTTTTTAAAAGCCTAAGCATGTTCTATTTGACTATTTATAATAGGTCAAGTCTGATCTAATATAGGTTAAGTCGTAGGTTCTTGTAGGCCGGTATAGCCCATTTATACCCTTACTAATTGTGAATTAATGAACCGCTTGGAATATTAAAAAAGAAGAAGTTAGATTACCATTTTTTTTTTGGTAAACATGTAAAGAATCTTGGGCACTCCCACTCTTTGAGCTAGCTTTTGGGGTGGTGTATCCCAAGGTTCTTTACATGGTATCAGAGTCTCACCGTCCCCCACTTTAAAAAGTGGAAATAAAATAAAATAAAAAAGCACAAAAAAAAGGTAAACCAAAAATGGGCCTGTGCAATTTTCACCCTTCTAGCCTAGAGGGTTCTTGCGTGAGGGGGCGTGTTGAGATATATAGTCCCACATTAATTCGATGGGCAACTAATATGGCCTTTATAAGGCCTTGGGCACTCCCACCCCTTGAACTAGCTTTTGAGATGGTGTATCCCAAGATTCTTTACAAAAGAGTTAAATTACCATTTTTAATACTAAAGGGGTTATTCTTTTCAACTATTTAGAAATGTCTGCAGAACTTATATGGCTGCGATCAAATTCTAGACGGCCATGCTCAATCTCATATACAATCGAGCGAATTTAGGTTTAAACCTTAAGATAAATAAAAATCCTTGAAATTTTGTGTGTTTTAAATTAACGAATAAAACAAATTCCTCAACAGTGTTCGGGCACATGATAAAATGTCCGAATTCAGTATGAATACATATTTTACAACTGAAATATTTTTTTGACAAACCACGTATATTCTCTACGGAGATAATTCTGTTCGGGGTACGTTTAGAATTAAAACTTTAAATTTCTCTAAAAAATAGTAGAATCAAATACATCTCTCACTCACCTGAGTTTTCATAAGCCAATTGATCTACTGATGATATTTCACAATTGAATTTAGTTTGCGATTTGCATAATACCAGTCATTTACTTAAAAATTGTTTGTTTGAGTTTTTTATTTTTTTATTCTTCATTATAAATTAGTTTGTAAGAACTTTTTTTAGGATAAAATACAGAAGGGGGGGGGGGGGGGGGGGGGGGGATCTATTTGGTAGCACTGTTTTGAGATTGAGAAAAAATTAAAAGTTAGAGCTTGTTTGATTTGTGATTTTTTCATTTTAACTTCATTTTATGATTTCTTTGGAATTACTTAGATATTTTTTTTTTAACATATATTTTCAAAATCAAAGCAAGGCATGTTACTGCTCATTTGTAAGTAGTTTATCCAAAATAAATACAATATAACATTTGAAGTAAGTATCTAATTGAAGTAATCTTTTAGCTTAATTTTTACAATGTATCACTTAAAATTAATATGATATAACATTTCAAATATGTATACGATATGAAATTTGTAAACGGTTTTGACAATTATTTCATTTAAGTAATTTTTTAGCTTAATTTTACAATTGAAGTGTTCCGCGTAAGGTTTAGTGCTGTCGGCATCGAGTGCTTCTTTTGGCTTCTTCAAATAAAATGGGTTTCTTAATCCTCTCCACATAGATATGTTCGCGACTATGTTTACTCAAAATAGCAATATGCAGTAAATCACGAGTAAGATTTATATTTAATTTATAAGCAATTCTTATGTTATAAAATTGTGACCATTTAATAACAAAAAATATGTCTTGTTTCAGTTCTATTAAATAGATATAATTCCTAAAATCATTTATTAGGTTACTGCAGGTACGTACTTACATTTCAAGACAGATAATGACCACTCCACTAATTTCCCAGAAAATCATCCAACAATCCACACTAAACAGTGCTTTGTGAAGCCGGGCTATCGGTATTTAATTATTTATTGAAATATTAAGAGTCAGTTTGGATGAATTTTTTTTTTCATAAGTTGTTTTTTTTTTAAAAAAAAACACTTATTGAAAAAAAATCTATTTAGATGCCTGCTTTAAAAAAAAACAGAAGTCATAAAAAAAAGTTAAAAATCTACTTTTTTTTCAAAAGCTAAAAATTTTAGCTTTTTAAAAAAGCAGAAGTCACAAGTCAAATATTTTTTTAAAAATCTAAATAACTGTAACTTTTATAAAAAGTACTTTTAAAATAAGAAAGTGATAAAAATAACTTTCTTCAAAAGTCAATACAAATGATCTCTAAATGTAATTGATAAATCAACGATAATCTATTAATATATATAGAACCTTGTATTAACAGTTTTATTATGGACAATGAATTTTTGTGTGGCATAGCAAATCCAACAAACAATAAAATTGTTTCCTAAAAACGGGGGAACTGCATTGAACTTCATACGCGGTTCACGATGTGTTTACAACTAAGCTATTGATTTCATTCCCAGACAAAAGAACGAAAACAGATACACTTACCAACAAAAAAGTTTACAACTTTTATTAATTTAATAATCATTAATTTCTGTCAATCTAACAGTTATAAATTAATAACATTTATTGTGTCATATTTATTCTCAATAAATTAATAACTGTTAAGTGATTAAATTAGTTGAAAGACTTGTAAACTTTTTTAGTGATAAGTGAACCCTCCCTGACAAAGAATAGCCCCATGAAAATTTGATGTCCTCTCCTGGCACATGACATTATTTACTTAGGGAGAATTTGGTATAAGAAAAAAAACTTTATCCGAAAATCTCAATTTTCAGAAATATAATAAAAACACTCCGTATGCGATAATATCCAAAAATTAAAAATTTAAAAAAAATTAATTTTCAAGAAAATCCTGAAATATCGCCTACCAAACGCCCCCTTGTCTTATATATGGCCAAGGTCATTATTAAAGAAGATCGGAAAAGGAAGAGGTAACTATTTAAATTGGATCTTTTATAAAATGACATATACAATGAATTAAAAGATTATCACAATGGAAATCAGAACAGAAAAGGAAAAAAATAAAAAACAAAAAAACAAAATCAAAAGGCAGTGGAGAAGTGAATAGTCTTGCTTCCCTAAACCCTCGTGCATTCTTGAGGAAGGCCCTGTGGAAATCTTTTTGTGTCAGTGCAGTAATTATAGATCATATAATTCTTCTGCACCCACTTGAGTCTTTCTTGACCAGTTGAATCTAGCTCTTCTGAGAACCAAGCATTGCTAGATGGGGTAGAAGTAGAAGAGGCAGAGCTTGCACCGCAAGATGATGTTCCAGAGGACCTAGTGCATGCATTGGCATTGAAATTTCTGTATGAAGCAGTAAAAGGAGCTTGAGTCCAGTCTGTCTTAACAAGCCCTCCCCTTGTGGCCCAATCATCAGCGTTCCAAAGACTAGAGTAGATTCTCATTGGCTGGTTTTTTGGGAATGGAACACCAATTGACTCCAAGTTCTTGAACTCCCTAATCGGAGTTCCATCCACAGAGAAGCTGAAATGGAATAAAAAGACTTATTTAGTTGCTTCCAACACAAAGTCAGAAAAACAGATTGATTCTATTTATATATTTTCTTTTGATGACTGCATTTAAGAAACTTACACAATGCGTTGGGGGTTCCAGAGGATGGAATAGGTGTGAAAATCTGCAGTTGGGTCAAACCAGAGGTAGAATTGTTGCTCCCTGTTACCCTTGCCTTGGCTAAACACATTGGTGTGAAGGATGTATGGGTCACCACTCAAGTTGCCCAAGAATTCAAAGTCAATCTCATCCCATCCTGTTCCTTTTGAAGATAGCTGAAATTGAGCACAAGAAATTCTCATTAATATTAGTAACCAACAAAGTTTATAAAGAATATGACTTCGATATGAATTGTAAGGTAAAAGATGATTTTGTGCTTACATAGTAGGCAGTGACAGTGCCAGCAGAGTTGCCAGGGACCAGTTTGAGCTGCATATCAATTTTGCCAAAAAGGTATTCCTTCTTAGACTGGAACCCCGAGCCAGAGGCTTTGTCAAGGGACAGGGTAAGAAGCTCGCCATTGTTGAGTATCTTAGCACGACCATCCCCCCACGTTATGTCAAAGTCTTGGTTGAGATTGCCGGCAGAGGCATTCACAAAGTAGCCAACCGCAGAGATTAATAGCACTAGGAATGCAGCTCTTGAAAAAGCCATAGAAAAACTGTTTCGAAGTTCAGATATAAAACTGAGCAATGAAAGAATGTAAAAGGTTTTTGGTTGTGAGAAGAAGTGGGACGTTGAATGTTATGTTGTGGTGAATGGCATGCTTGAAATGGTATTTATAGGTGAAATCGAAAAGAGATAAGAGCGGATGGACACATAGGAGAGGAAAGTTATGAGAAGGTTCAGTATTTAGTTGTACTTGGCTGAGCATTTAGTAAAAGGCATGGTTGTTATTGATGGACGCCGACCTGAATCATTGTACGCGGTTCTATGAAAGGCAGAGTCATTCAATGACGTAGAGAAGTAGGACCGAAGTTCCCTTTACCAAACACAACTTTTTTTTCGTACCTAAAACCATCACCGCCATTAGGTCATCAACTCCTCTTCCTTTCTATATGGTGTATGATATTTAATATTAAGTACTGATAATAAACCGTATTCATACGTAAGCGCATAAAATAAAATTAAAAAATTGACCCATTGGCTGATTCAATTCGTCAATCCGGTAATAACACTGCTTGGAAACGTGGCAATGCCCAAAAATAACTTTGACATGCCATGTCTAACATCACATGACATACTCATATTTAAAAAGACATGAAAGGACTTATTCCCTGTGCTGATCGATAACTCATTTTGATTTTCAACTGATTTGTCCCATGAGAACTGCAAAATGAAATAAGGTTCTCCTTGGAGGAAATCCGAGTATAAATCAACCTAATGTATCTCTTAGTAAATCTAGACTAGGTATAAAAAAATTCAAGTTGAGCTTCTTAAGTGGAGAAGTGTATACCACCCTAGCCGAAAAAGCCATGGCCCAACAACATGAGGGCCCATCATACCTCACAACTAAGGGTTGGTTATCAGGCCCCAATCTCATCACCCAAGCACTCTAATTGTCAATTCTCAGTTAGAGGGATAAAAAAAAAAAAAAAAAAAGGGAAATCAGTTTGTCACGTGATAAGAATGATACTATCCTGTAATAGGATTTGATTCTGTATCCTGATTTCTTTAACAAAATCCAATTTCGAATCCTGACTTTTTTTAAAAAAAAAAGTGTGGGATCCACACTTGATTTATGTGTACAGGTAAAAAGCTCATGTCATGTGATATGACAAAAACGAACCCTAAAGAAATATTAAATAATTAATATATTTTCATTCAACGCTTAAGGTTTTGGCTTGAAATAATTTTTATTATGGTAGTGACTACAAGATCACATGTTCGATTCTCATCGCCCCGTTTTCAGGTAGAATTAAGAAAAACACAGCAGACCAAAAAAATGGATTTATATAGCACAAGACAGACCAAAAATGGACTTGTGTCATATTCACGCTTGAAGTCAAAGGACTCTTGCGTGAGAGGTGTAGAGATATAGAAAATATAAAATAACTAATTAAGTCTCAATAAACGCCTTAAGGTTTTGCGTTGAAATAGTTTTTTTTATATAATCACGAAGTTACTAGTTCGATCATCGTCATACCCACTTTCAAGTGCAATTAAGAAAAACACCACACAGAAAAATTGGCTTGTGCATGTTTCATATTCAGCTTCAAGCCCAAAGAACTGGGTATTTTAGACAGGTACAAAATAATTGATATATCATCTCTTAAAGGGTTGTGATAAACCTTTAGTTTATCTTATTTTATAGACTAAATTAATATAAAATATCAAGTTAAATAAGTCAAAAACTAGGGTTTAATATAATAATCATGAACATTATCTGAATTTTGTTTAATTGAATCATCTTTGCTATTTTTAAGGATTTGTTGACAAAAGGAGTCAAAGATGAAGATTGGATAGATAGAGATCACAACTAGAAGAGATGAGATCAAGAGATGATAGAGGAAGATAAAAAACAAGATAGATTTGAGATCTTATCAAGTTGTTAGAGAGGAAGCTTAAGCCTCCATCATGAAGCTTAAGCCTCCTAGACAAGCAAATAGCCTCTGTCAATGGAAGCTTAAGCCCCAATAAGGAAGCTTAAGCCTCCAAAATACGCAAAGAGTCTCGGCCTGTGGGCGCTTAAGCCCCCAACTCAGGGCTTAAGCGCGCTGGAAGAAGATAATTCTGACTGGAAGATCGAGCTTAAACGCCCTACAGCGCGCAACACGAATTCTGCAATCACCGTTCTAGGGGGCTTAAGCGCCCCAGAAACCCAACTTAGGCCCATTCAAGGTGTTTCATCAAGATACGAACTCTTGACCTATTTAAACACCATTGGGGACTAGAAATACAGAACTTTTCACATTGCAAAACAACTCTTGGTGCTTGGAGGCGGAGGGAACGCGGAGAAACATCAGATTCATGTTCGTGAGCGGCGGAGACAGATCAACGTCAAATGTTCACTGGAGATATTGAAGATCCACCAATCACCTATGGAGTTTGGGGGAGCTTTTATAGTTTCTTTTGTTATTGACTTTGCTATGTCTGGCTAGTTCTTTAAGTAGTTAGGGTTAGATGGATTTTAGTCGATTTATTATGTTTTGAACAATTCGCTGTGTTAATTTTCCTTTATATCATGAATGAAGTTATGTTTTTAATGCTTTATATAGGCTTGAATCTTATATAATGATCATGGGTGAATGCATGACAATAGGAATGTTGGTGTGTGATCCATACCTGATAACTTCATCGTAAACGTTATGATTCTAGGGATAGACATAGGGTTTGAGTAATCTTTAAGATTCTTGAACTTAATGCTTGCATGCTTGGGGAATAACCGGGGAACTAGGGTTCTTCCAATATTGTAAAGGTTTTAGAGTAACAAGGGATTGAGCTCTAATAACATGCGAAAGAATTGATTAGATTGATACTAAAGACAATTAACATTAAGAAGGAATTCAAACGTAATCAGGAGATTAAATAAAATCGAACCCCTAGCTACGTTCTTTTACATTCGTAAATCACATCTTTAATTTCTTGTCTTTAATTCTTGCAAGTAATTAGCTTTAATATTTAATATTTTAATTTTGCAATTCAAATCCTGTTTCCGAAAACAACTTCGATTGTCCAACTAAGTTTGCGACAGTGAATTAGTGCTTGAACCATAATTCTCGTGGGAACGATCTTTTACCTAATCAGTATATTACTTATACGATCGGTGCACTTGTCGTGAGTAGTCCAACAGGTTGAAATAGTTGTTATCATTCTCGCTCAATGAGCAATAATCAACGAATCTAAACTGTCTGATTAGAGCAGCCTATAAGGTAGCATAGCAAAAACTGAACGATCATTTTCACTCACACTACTATAACTGGATTGTAATCTGTAAAATCATCAAAACTTAGCCGATTCGGTAGGACATTACGTGTACAGATCCTAATCCTTTTTTTTTTCTTTCTTTTCTCTCTCTCCGCTCTTCTTTCGGAGATTTGAATTGATCGATTCAATGGATCGTAGATGAGTAAAATTAGTGGTGTTAAAGAAGATACATGGATCTGCATTAAGGATAATAAACTGCCTCTCCAGTCTCGTTTTAGAATTCGCCACTTTTTGTAAAAGAATACGAATTTTTGTACAAAGATTAGGTGCCACTTTGAGTGAAGTTCATCATTTTAAATTGTAATCACGATTCTCAATGCTTCTTCATTTTTATTTTTTTTTCGTTTTTTGGTATTTCTTACGTATACAGGCCCAGAAGTTAAGAGATAGATAGAAACCGGATAGAACATCTTTCTAGAAGTTACATGTATGTCAAAGGAGCAAAATAATCCCTTTCTACCGCCGACTTGGCAAGCTAAGAAGGTCCTCTGGAAGACACCAGAGCCCACTTAGATTTTTAAATGCTCAAGTTGTATCACTTTAGATCAGTACTACGAATCAATAATACCACACGGTTGCAAGAGCCAAACCCAAGTTTGGTTTTGGTAGGAGAAACCTAGGAAGTCATAGCCACTGCGCCGTATGTGTACGTATAAAATAATGCCTTCCCTAAGAAGCACCATGTAATGGACCACTTAAAAGTAAAAACTATGATTATTATGCAAATGAAACCATTTGCTGTCCAGCTGTTTAGTTGCCACTTCCCCCCCCCCCACCAACCAACTTTTATTAATTAAACACATTCCCAATATGCTCCCACAAACTTCAGAGACTGCTATAAATTGGAGAAGAGCAACTTTCTTTCTCATCAGTTTATGCACCAAATACCAATTCTGTCTCAAATACAGAAAACATCTTCAGCAAACACTGCAACATTACCGCTTGTCCAATGGCCACTTTCTCTTCTGTTCCTTGTACTAATACATTGTTTGTGCTTTTCATAGCGTTTCTAATCTCTACACCTTCCATGGTTGCCTTTGCTGGCAATTTCTACCAAGATGCTGATATCACTTGGGGAGATGGCAGAGGTAAGATTCTGAACAATGGTCAGATTCTTACTCTGTCCCTTGACAGTACCTCTGGCTCTGGCTTTCAGTCCAAGAATCAATATCTCTTCGGCAAGATTGACATGCAAATCAAACTTGTCCCTGGAAATTCCGCTGGCACCGTCACTGCTTATTACGTGAGTTCCCTTAATCAATCTTTTCATCTGATTGAATAAATATACAAAAGAGTGCCTTCTAAATAACAATAATATGCCTAATGCCTGTTCATGGAGCCTAGTTCTAACATATAATTTTCTGCTTCATGCAGTTACGTTCAGAAGGGTCGTCATGGGATGAGATAGACTTTGAGTTCCTGGGTAATCTGAGTGGTGATCCTTACATAGTTCATACTAATGTGTACACCCAAGGCAAGGGTGACAGAGAGCAACAATTTTACCTCTGGTTCGACCCAACTGCAGATTTTCACACCTATTCCTTTCTCTGGAATCCTGCCCATGTTGTGTAAGTTTCTAAAATCCATATATATATATATATATATATACATCTATCCTTGCATTGCAATCTTTAATCTTCAACTCAATTCAGTAAACTTACATGGATTCTTTACTTTTCAGGTTCTATGTTGATGGCAGACCAATTAGGGAGTTCAAGAACTTGGAGAGTGTGGGTATTCCCTATCCAAAGAACCAGCCTATGAGATTATATTCGAGTCTATGGAACGGTGATGATTGGGCAACAAGAGGAGGACTTGTGAAGACAGATTGGACTCAAGCTCCATTTACTGCTTCTTTCAGAAACTTCGGAGCCAATGGTTGTGTTTGGACCAATGGGGTTTCTTCATGCACGTCCAACTCTTCTGCTAATGCTTGGCTATCTGAACAGCTTGATTCTACAAACCAGAAGAGGCTTAAAAGGGTGCAGAAAAATTTCATGATTTACAATTACTGCACAGACATTAAACGATTCCCTCAGGGTCTCCCTCTGGAATGCACAGTCCGCGCCAAGTCATAAGAGGAATACAAACCATACTCTTACATGTGTGTGCATTCTTTTTTCCCCATTATATCGTTTGCCATTCTTTCTGTAATTTTATTTGAATTATGTTCAGAGGTTATTGTAATATAATAACGTTAATTAAATGTAACAAGAATAAAGTGGGATACTGTTTTTGAGGTAGAAAATTATGGCATTGTTCTTGTCATTCTAGGCAGGAATCATAATCACTTTGAACAGGCTTGCCAGATAGTGACAAGGCTCCATTCACTATTGACTACATTTTAGGGAAAGCTACCGGAACATTCTGTTTTTATGTGGTCCAGCTGACTCCAAATGCAAGGGCACATTAGCTTCTTGTGTTCAATTGGTTGGTGATTGAATATTTAGATAGTTTACGAAGACTAAACACACAAACTGGCCCAAAATGCAGAGTCATTAGTAACATTGGTTTGACGATTGAGTCAACATAATTGCTGAGAGGCTTAGGCCACGTTTTGGAGTTAAAAGAGAAAATTGCATTTTAGATATTTGAACAAAGTTTGCATATTTAGTGTATGGGGTATGAGACGATCGGTATTTTACTTCGAGAGTCAATAAATATTTTGAGAATATATCTTAGAAATGATACCCATAAAAAAGTTAGATATCAATTAATTCCCTTAACACAGATACTCTATATTTATATCTATTAACTGTATCCTCTTATTAAATTATAAATTATAAAAATTAACTTTATATGATAATAATAAATTTTATAATTGATAAGTTTTTTTTTTTTTGATAGCCTGATAAGTTTTTTTTTATTAACATGTTGTGTTATCAAATAAAGTTATCATATTATTAATTATATGATTTGTTGTTTAGTAAATTGATTTAAATAATTATTCGTTGATATTTTTTGTAACTAGTTAATAGCCCGTCAATTTTAATGAATTTTTGATATACTTAAATGAATTTCAAATAGGCCTAAGGGTCGTGTTTCGTCAAATTAATTTATTAAACTAGACTCGGATTGGTCGTATACCTAAAATGAATTTTTGTTGTTATAAAAAAAAAATGAATTTTTGATAGAGTTTTAAATAAAAAATTTATATTAGAATATTGAATAAATTTAAATACTTACATTTTAAAATAATATAGGAATATACACACTCACACACACACATATATATACCCAAATTTCTACTTTTTATATTAAAAATTTTTAAAAAAAATTATCTTTTAAAATAATTAAAGTAGACATAATTCGATTTAATTTATTTTTTGTCTTGTATCGAATTGAATTAATAAAGTAGTTCAATTGAGTTTAAAAAAAATGTTCAATTCTTAAATTATTTAAAAAATAAGACCAGTTTAAACAACATAACTATTTATAATATTAAATAATTTGATTCATAATTCGATTATATTTATATGAATTCTCCCCATCTCTTTATGGCTATAATTTGATTTGATTTATATCAAATACAACCAAACCGGTAAAACAATTCAGTTCTTTGAAATGTATCGGTAATATTCAATTTTTAAAATAATTAAAAAAATTATTTAAAATATGATTCAATTTGATTAATAATTTTATTTAATTTATGTGATTTTTTAAAAATAGAATTATATGATGAAAAATTAACTAAAAGTTGAAGGCAACATTTATCATATGTGATGTGGGGACAAAACTTTGATGCATACTTAATTGAGTACATCTTTTTGTACATTTGAAACAAAATTTATCACTTTTGAAAAATAAATTTTTCGTTGAAATCTTTTTTACTTTTGGAAAAAAGATATACCCAATTGATGTATCCATTGGGTACATTTGATATGGAACAATAATCACAATATCACTGTTTAAGAAAAAATATACTCAATTGACTCATGAATAATAAAAAATTTTAAAGTGCCACACATATAAATTCACTATATCATATAACAAAATTAATATTTTCTTGTGATAGTTCGCTATTGATAGTATAGCGAATTATTTGAGCAAAGGAATACAAGTTCGCTAGATAAACAAGCAAACTATATTACACTATTCACGATTTGACATTAATTAGCATCATGAATAAGTCTTTTTTTACTTGCACTGCAAACAACACTATTGTGAACATCTATGATGTACGGACACGAGATACGATACGACACGACACGCCGACACGTTAATTTTAAAAAATGACATATTTGGACACGTTGGACACGTTTTGATATTAAATAAAAATTTAATATATATAATATAATTTATATTTGATACATATAAGAGTCCATAATAAGTCATATAATCAATCAAATATTTAAATTTCATAACATAAATATAAATTATTTTTCGTACTTTGTTAATTTTTCAGGTCAAATTTCATAACAGAAAAAAATTAATTTATAAATTATTTCTTTTATATTTAGTTAACAAAATAAAACTTAAAATTAAAAAAAAAAACGTGTCCAAGCATGTCCGAGCTTTGACCGCGTGTCCGAAAAAATTAACTGCGTGTCGAAAAAACGTGTCGGAGAGTTGACCATGTGTCTCCAAATGTTGACCGCGTGTCGGACGTGTGTCCGAGCGTGTCGAAACGTGTCCGTGTCGGACACGTGTTGGACACGCAAATTTTTTAGAAAATCAGCGTGTCCGTACGTAGGTGAACATTATGATTTTACAATTTTTTTTAATTTTACTTCATCTCCCACTTCCCAAATCTTCATTTTGGAAAAAGCTCCTCTAAAAGTTGCTTTTAAAATAAATATATGTGTGTATTTACCTTTAAAATTTCAATAGATTAAAATTAATGTGTACTTTTAAATAAAATTAATATACACTTTTAAATTAATATATTCTTACTTTGCTTATTTTAGATACAAGATAATTTTATAGGAGTCTTTTTCTTCTACTTTTTCTTTGCGGGCAACTAATTTTTAATCTATTTCATAAGTCTATGGTAAACAAGCAAAAAATCTAGATCAGCCAAATCTTAATCGAAATTAAAAATAATTCTCATCTTATTACATAAAAATTTTATAACATTTGGAAACCATTTCACCAATTAGAGGCCCAACTGGTGTACCCAGTTGGTCCATTTGACACATCAAAGTTAATCCGTGCTGTTTCCATTATTTTTCAAAAAAAAAAAAGTTAATCCGTGGGATATTCGGGGAAGGATCGAGGTGGCTTCTGAGGTGTCAGAGGAAGCAGACTGGGCGCAAAATGTAGTGAAGTTTCGTGGTTATTTTGTGCTTGAAGTCGTGTCAAGATAATCACGAATCCGTGGCGGCACCGAACCTACTCAGCCAGCTATTATCCTCTTCATATTTAAAACCTTTGGGCTTCCACTTTCTCATTTTTTTCATTTTTTATTTTTGGGTTGGCTCCCAGCCTCTCCCACCTTTATTTATGCCCTGCTACTTTTAACTCAATGTAAAAAATATTAACATTAAATTTTTTTAAATAAATTTTTTTAAAAAAAATTATTTGAATTAGAAATAATCATCTGTTGCACGGATCATTACTAATTTAAAATAATTATCTGTAACGGGGAAAGTTATAAGCCGTAAAAGGATTCTTCCAAAATGCTAACTAGAATGTTGGTTTTGGTACTACTATCCTTTGCATCTCCCCTGCACAAAGTGCTAATGCCACCAGATAATTTAATCATGTCCACTCTGAATTCTGAAATCATTTCAAATTCCTTTCTCTTGTTTTCATGTAAATTATCAAACAATGGCTTTCCTCTATACCAATTTCGGGAGTGGCTCCTTTTATGTGGAAAAGTGGTCATGTGGTCATGTTATTTAATCGCAATCACTCATTGATGATAAGATAAGAAAGAGAAAAATGTATAATTTTTAAATAAGTGATTATGATCAAATAACATGATCATTTTTTCACATGAGAGGATCCACTCTCACCGATTCCAGTTTTTTATTTTAGTTCCTTGTAATCCGTGTTGTGACTTATGACTTTGACATATCATGAGGACACTAAACTAAGCTAACTAGTTCAGCAATCCACGCACTTCTTTGGAAAATATATTCAGCGGGACATTTAGTATGGGATTTTTTTTTATCGAATAAGTTATGAAAAAGTATTTGGTAGAATAAATTTTTTTCAAAAAAGTAATGATACTAAGTTTAGTTGATTGTAAGATATTGATAAAAATTTGAATTGAAATTATCAAAATACCGATTATTTTAAATGAGAATCTGAGTTCATATAAAACAATAGGACATTTTTATCTAAAAAAGTTAAAAAGAGATTCTTAGTACATGCAAAAAAAAATTACCATCGATGAGGTGAAATTCTTTTTTGAAGTGTGTAGATACAAATGGGAATGATGTGAAATTATTTCGTTGAGATTATTTTAAGTTTCCTCCTATCAAACATGGTCAAAAAATATTTTTCACCTTACTTTTCTATCATTTCAAACAAAATATTTAACCAAACACCCCTTTACAGAAATATCGAATACTCAGTGTATTTTTTATTAAATATAAAATAATATATATTTATACTATTTTTATTTTTATAATTATTTTTTTCCCTTTTTTTATCTTTTGGTAAAAATATATTTATTCTCATTGTACCCAAAATATGTTGAAACGAGGGATTAGACTGAGGAAAATCAAAGTGTAAAACAATAGCAGAATGAGGGATTAGACGGAGGAAAATCAAAGTGTAAAACAATAGGAAAATCATGCATGATTGCATGGGCGTTGTAGAGAAAAAAAAAATTTATCTGGAAATCATGATTTTAAAAATATAAATTTTACCTCCAGTCTACAATAATATCCAATAATTTAAAATTTAAAAAAATTAAATATCTTGAGAATCCGAAAAAAAACCGTCTACCAAACGATCATGTCAAAATTGACATGCTGGGAGTCTGGGACGTGCACTTACTTTCATTTGTATGTTTTTTGGGTCATTCTAGAATGGACGCGTGGGAATTGCGGTGGCGCTCATATGGGTCAGTGAGGGATTAGTCTGAGGAAAATCAAAGTAATTGAATGAAATGCAGCGGAATAGTAGAAGCTCCTCTGTTTCCTTAATATTCATTTCCTAAATTGAAGAAAGGAATAAAATAACTTATAAAGTTACACTTTTTATTATTAATCTTGAGGTGTAG